ACATGTATGGTGTATGTCCCAAACAGAAGTCGGTGTAAGACTAGAGGGGAGGGAGGACTTATTTCATGCCTTGAAAAAAAAAAATAACTCGGAAAATTAGTTTCCAGTACTTCTACGCTGGAGAAAGTGTGTGGAAAGTAATTTCAAACTAAGGGCAAAATAAAAAAGTAAACCAAGTATCTTACTTTTTCTCTCAGTTAAAACTTTAAAAAGTCATTAAATGCAGACAAATCATGTTTATAGTACAGTAAGTACAAAATTTAGACCAGTGGCTAAATCTGTGCGTGAAGCCTTTATAAAGCCCTCTGTCACCCGAGTCCTACATTAAGGATAAAATTAGTTCCTTTTCCCATTTTTAGACTTCTGCCTAGGGCATGTTTCACACAAAACCCATGTAGTTTTCTTTAAAAGCTGTCTTTGATTATTAAATAGTTTTGCTTAGAAACTGCACCTTTACCCTTAAAGTGCAAAGGCAAAGCTTTTAGCACAGTGATAAGTGGTCTCCTGTACTTCATACAGTGCTGCAGATAAGGAAAAGGTAAAGATTTTGGCTTTTAAAAGAGCGTGTATAACCAGCACTGTAATTTGCGTTTGCAAATCCACATGATCTTGGCTGTTAAATTAAGTCCAGCAGCTTATTTTAAGTCATATGAGGCAGGTAGAGTTGAACAGAGGTCTAGCAGGTATTGCAACTGAATTACAGGAGGTAAAGCCACCCTTGAGGGAGGCACACAGCGGGGAGGACCACTCGCTGCACAAAACTGTCAGAGAAATCTTCCAGAAAACAGGCAAGTCTGGAAATACTAGTGATAGTTGGACAAGAAATAGATGACAAGTTATATGAGTATCTGCAAGAGATGGGTGTAAAATTTGTCACTACATGTGTGGTATATACAGCTATATTTTGAGTAAGGACATTGTAATTCCTTACTTGTCGTATAACTAGAACTTTACTCTTGTGTTTATGCTAGCTGAAATTCTGCAGCATTATATCCCTTTTATGTACGCTTGCCTCTTATGCAAAGCATATAAACCCTTTTTGCAAAGCTCATCGTCTGGTTTTAAAGTATTCTTAGACTTCAGTTTTTGTATATGAAAAGCTAAGGCTTTGGTGTGTCTGTCGGTCCGTGGAGGATCCTGTGTTAGAGTGCAACATGTAGTCTGACCTTTCACACCTACAGGAAGGCACATGCTGGGTGTCAAGACAACAGACATCCAGGGCAGGGAGGAAAATGGATCCTTGCCTCAATGTACCTCTCCAGTGCTGATGGCCCTCTTTGCATTGGACTTGGTAGGTGGGCAGAGGAGAAAGTTGTTGATCCTGCAGCTGGCATAGTAACTACTTGTGAGCTGCTTTTAGGGAGGCCATTGGGAAAGACAGGAACAACCCCTCTGGTCAACAAGGAATTTTGCAGACTAGGCTACTTGCTGTGAGCTGGAATTAGAGTTTATTACACTTAGTGTAAAAAATAACAGTTTTTAATCATGCACAATTCACTGCAATAATGGCATAATACTTGAGTAGAGAAAGCAACTGAAGGCCTGGAGGCAATCTGAAGTTGACAAAAATATCCATTTTTTAAAAGTGTGTCTTTGAAGGAAACAAACCTTCCTTCAACCCATCATTTAAGTGAGTTTTTTAGTCTTCATGCAGACTAGAATTTTAGACAATATCTTATCCATCTGTTTATAGAGAAAGTTGCTATTCATTCATCACCTGATAAGAGCCATCCTAGGGTTAACTACAGGTTCTGTTACTGTCTGAGGGAGGAGGCAGCAGTTGGTGTTATTACAGTTTTTCTAGCCCTTACCTCTGTTTAATACAGCTTTGCTGTATTAAATTCACTGCTAACAGTCTGCCCAGCCATGCAAGCGACTATGTTGATGCTTACTGTATTGCAGGACTTTGTGACATCTTGCAGCAAGGAGTTCCACAAGCTTTCACTGCTTACTGTTTGGAAAAGTGTCTTTTACTACTACTAGCTTTGTGACTTTTCCATTTCTGTGGAGGCCCCTTTTCTCCTCAAATGAGGTATGCTGAGTAGTTCCTGATCTATGTTTCCTCCCTGCTGTTTATTATTTTGTGTACTTTGATCATGCTCATTTTTACTCACTTTTTTCCCATGCAAACATACCCAGTCTTTTCGATCTCTTTATCATTCATCCCACACACCTTTCTGACGTACATTTCTTACATGGGCTAACCAGAAATGAAGTACTGCAGGTGAGGCCAAATTATTGATGTATGTAACCAGTAAAATCCTGGCCCCGTTGAAGTTGCTGGGAATTCACTGACATCTAAGGGTGGAGGTTTCTTCCAGTGTTGTCACATTTCCTGCGTTATTCTACCTCTCATTTTTCATGTATTCAAAATTTGGCAGCTGAGACTTTAATCTAGAATCATACCGATGCAGCATCCTCCATTAAAGTCCTGTTACTCCTCATATCAGCAGTGTAGCTGTATGGACAGGATTACTTCCTTCCCCAAAATACTTTGAGAGAGGTCAAATTTTGTCCCGATTCACATTTGTTGCAGAACTGCTCTTGGTGTTAGTTTTGAACAGCTGAAACTGAGAGCAGCAGCTCAGGCTTTGGAACACTGCTGCTTGTGTTCACAGTGACCTTTAGCTAGAAAATCTGCTAAAATACATTATTTAGTATATGAAAGCAAAGAAATATTTTTTTTTTGTTGCTGCAGTAAATAACTGTCCATAAAGCAACAGGAATAAAAGGCAAAACGAGACAGAGTAAAAACCCCAGCATCTGCAAAAGGAGTCTGTTAACTTGTTTTCTGTCCAGAAACATCTTAAGAAATGTTGAGATTGTTGCTGGCTAATAAACACAGTGAATGAAATGTTAATAAATCACCAGCAATTTAGTCTGACAATAACATGGATTGACCACATTGATTAAATTGATTATGTTTCATATATTTATAATATGTAGACAGAAGCCTAATTTATTTTCTGAAGAGTTCAAGGTAGGTATCACTGGTTTAAAGAGGGGGGGGGAAAAGTCAAAACAATGGAGTAATGTTTGTGGTTGCTATCTGCAATAATCTAATGCTGACAGAGAGCAGTATTTTATTTAGTAATTAACAGTGTAAAGGGGAGAGAAGCTGTCATGTTGGTTCTTAAGCTGGGGAATGTGATGAAAGATGATATCTGCGATCTCATCCTTTCCACTTGTTTAGGATTGTCAGGATGAGAAATGTCAGCATTATGAAAGCTCAGCTCTGCTCTTGATATGATAAAACCCTTCAAAAGCCAGTCTTTCTCTCCCTCTCCCCCCTCCTTTTTCCCCTCTCCCTCTTGCACTTGCCTTTTTTTTTATTTATCCTGTTTTGTTAGATGGCAGAAATATAATTCTTTTCTTTCTTCCTATTATAAGCCACCATTTTTGTTTTATTATATGTTTCACAACCCCTAATGCCCCACTGAAAATTACCTTGTTAAATGACAGTGTTTCAAAGCCATGAATCCTTTCCACCATTCCCTCAGAGGTTTGAAACAGTCAACAGACTGTAAAGAATAAATAATAAAAAAGTATTGATTATTTTGATGACTGTGAGATTCAATTAAGTATTAATTTTGCCCTCCAGTGGACCTATCAAGGTATTCAAAAGGGAGGATTCGGCTCAGCTAAATGCGTGCTGAGTGCTTCAGCCTTAAATAGGGAGAAAATGTGTTTACCTACAGTATTTGAAGAGGAGTGCATTGATGCACAGAGTCCAATATTTAAGTGCTGTGCAAATTAAGCCCTGGTGACAGTGACATTGTTTTCAGCGATATGAGTATTGACTAAAGAAGTGCATTTGATGACAGCTTAAACTATTTGTATTGATTAACATTTTCATAGATTATCATGTGTCATATCAAATTCACTTTTCAGACATGAATACATTAAAAAACCCATAGGCAAACATTGACCAATGTGAGGACGGGACAGAGGGAACATGCTAACCAACCTACTTGCTCGCTGGTCACCTGTTCTCTGCATAAGAGCCATTTAGGCATGAACTTTGCAATAAATAGCTGCCAGAGAGCGCAACAAGGTCACTTGTTCCTTCTCATTTGTTTATTGTTTTTTTTTTTAGTTTCCTCTTTTTTTCACTCTGATTTCGGAGCTGTCATGATATTATGCCTATTAATTTGCAAATGGAATAATAGAGTGTGCTTGGAAATAATGCCTGACCCCCAAATGTCCTCAATGAGCAGAAGATAAAACAGATCCAAACCAGCAAGGAACAAATTTTCAGTGCATATCCATGTCTAATGTTTTATGGGGGATACTATGTTGCAAACACAAGAATAATTGCAAACTGTGTGTGTAAGTATCTTCCCTAATTTTATCTTCTTTTAAAACATGCCTTCTGTGTGATTTTATTTTCAAAAGGAAAAGGTTGTGTTTGTGTGTGCTTATGGACTTTGGGAGCATAGTATCCCAAAGGCAGGAATAGTTAAAAGAAATCTGTGTATCTCTCTTGAATGTATGTGATGCAATGCCTATTTGCTGCTGTGTATTTTAATGGAATGCTGGAAACTCTGTATGTGATTCTGTTAATGTTGTACAGCTGAGGATGCCTCTTTAAATCACTGTGGAGTGCTCCTCTTCCATGGCTTTGGAGCATACAGGAATTTCATTTCCTACTACGTTAAGGACAGGGTGAGGTGTAAAAAAAACATACACACAAAAAAGCACATCCCATAATTAAAGCTGTGTTGGTTATGTTGCTTTCATAGAAGTTTTTCTCCAAAGCATCCTGAATCTCTCACATGCTAGTTGAGCTTTAATAGGGTGGGGAGTAATGGAAAACTCATTGGATCTGTAATAGCTCTTCACTTGACTGCAGCCAGCAATAACAGCAGGAGCAGCCAGAGATAAGAGAGAGAGAGAGTGAGTGTGTGTGTGAGAGAGGGAGGGAGTGGAACAGAGACTATACGCACACCAAAGCTGCCACTTTTTTTTTCCCCTCACTTTTTTTTTCTCCCCCATCCTAGGATCCAATGATAGCTGGACAAGTCAGTAAGCCCTTGCTGTCACTGCAGAGTGAAATGAATGCAGAGTTGAGAGGTGAGGACAAGGCAGCTACTTCAGACAACGAGCTGAATGAGCCCCTGCTTGCGCCTGTGGAATCAAATGACAGCGAGGACACTCCCAGCAAGCTCTTCGGTAAGTCTGTCTAGGTATTTCATTTCACTGCTACCATGTTGTCCGGAAGAGCAATCTCCCCCTGCTCTCTCCCTCTCCCCCCCGCCTTCTTTCCTTGTTCGCTCAATTTTGTTCTAAGTACGAAGGAGTAGCTTGGAGCGTGCAGGCATGCAGCCCTCTGCTCCCATTGCAGCTGAATGCAGCGGGGTGACAGTTTCAGCCTTGAAAACTTTTGTCAACAATGAACTTATTTTATGCAAGTTGCAGACATTTTAGGTTTGCTTTTGCATGTAAAATAAATAAATAAATAAAAATTAGAGGGGGGACATTCTCTTGGAGTAGTTGATTAACATTGATTGGGTCAGGTGCTGGTGTGTCTCATGCTACCAGCTTGTTCTAAGGCTGGCTTAAAGTGCAAAGTTATCATTTTATATGGTAAAGATAAAGCTGGCTGAAGAGAGCTGAAACATTCCCATAGAAAACACTCTGTACTGAGTAAACAAAGGCTACGAAGGGTACTGCACATGGAGCTCATGTTTTTGGAATTTAAATTAGAAATGAAATATTTCTCCTGAAGCCTCTGCAAAGAGAAATTTCCTTTTGGATTTTTAATTTATTTTTTAGTAGTCTAAATTGTGCCAGATAAGTGCAGCATTTCCCAATCAAAACAAAAGCAGCAAGAGTGGCACTCCGACACAGACATCTGTCATTCAAACGGATGACACCCTGTAAGCCAACTCAAGCAACTCTGATCTCTAATCAGGAAAGGGAGCAGGGCTGTTGAGGCGCGTGCTTGAGTGATAGATGTTGATAGATGTCTGAGCTGGAGCAGCACTGTGTGGTACACAATGACATTTTGGGTTTAGAGGGACTGCTGTCCTGAAGGACTTCCTTTTAATTATTTCCAATTGTGACTTGAGATAAACCTTAATAGAAACAGAGCATTTCCTTATTTTACGTGATCCTCTAGGTGGAAGTTAAAGGGAAAAAGGTCTTGTTTAAAGGGAATGCAGCTTTAAGGGACAGAGAGCGAGAGCCTATATTCTAAGATTCAACATTTAATTTTGTAGTCTGTAAGGAAATCTGTAACAGTGTTTAGATTTCAGTATTCCTGCTCAGGAAGAGCTGCAAGATCTTTTCTAAACAAAAGAATACATGCAATTTTCTTTTAAAGTGGTTAACAGCATATTCTTTCTCAAAGATATGGCACAAAAATATTTTATTAAACAACTTCACTGAAGAAATGGAAGAATGATAATAATTTAAAAATCCTAAAACTTAATTTCTGGACTACAGTAATGACCATTACTGAATATCTCTCTGTTTTTAAGCACCCTCTTAGTAATCTTTGTTTCCATGGGAAGCATGATTTCTATTAGCACTTTGAATGTTCAAAAAACATAGAATAATTGTTTTAGTCTATTTCACCCAGGAAAGGATTATAATGTCTAAAATTCAGAGAGCTATTAGTTGTCTGGTGTAGTACAAGTATCCTCAGCTGTGTTTTTATGTATTTAATTTGCTCAAATACTCAGGTTGCATCTGTTAAAGACAGCAAGGCAAGTACAAAACAAAAGCCAGACTTTTTAATCTGAGGGCAGTGAAATGTCTGTCTCTTCTTAGGTTGGGCAAGTCTTGTAATAAAAGGGAGGATATTTTTTGAGGCTTTGTCAGTTGGATGCTCCTCGGTGATAGTGAAATATACACAGACACTTTTCATTAGAGTTGCTGTGTGGGGTACAGAAATAATGTGCAACAATATCTTGTCTCCTTCTGAGCTGCAAATGTAATTTATGTCCCTAAAAGCACTAATGAAAGCTACAAATTAATCTATTGTGTTGTTTCTGTTGGTGAGGGTGAGAGGTTTCCTTGTCTGATTCTTATACTGCTAAAAAGAGGTTTCCAAGTAAACAAAAGTAGGTGAAATAGTTCAACTGCCTCAGTATGAACTTACGCACTATTTATCGAGGTTCTGTTACAATTATGATGGATGCTACAGACCACTGAGCAGCAGCCCTCATCAAGTTAATTTTAGTAACTCTTAAGATCATAAAAGAAAGGACGGTGGGGCTGTTTTGATGCATTTTGAGGATCAAACTGAGCAAATTTAAAATCAAGATGATTAGTCTTTATGTCACAGATGCATCTCTTAAGGTAGATTTGCAGTAAGCATTGAAAATAATTAAGTATAATGTTGTTCACAGCTTTGATATTTAAATACGGAGCATTATTCTGTGGCTGTTTCTTTTTATCATACTACTCATAGCATTAAACAGGAATGTGTACTTTGGGCTTTTGCAGTCTCTGAAATGAAATTGTCTGTGGACTTACTGATGTGGTGGCACAGAGACTGACTATTTTCTCCAACTTTCTTTCATGTGATCAGAGATAATAGTTTTCCTTTCACCATACACCATTTAATACATGCTGTGTGAAAATTTGCCCAGAATCTGTTTAGCAGGAGAGGGTGGAGCATTTTAGGGAGTCAAGGGGAGGAGACAGGTCCACTGAGAACTAAGTTTTTCTACGCTGCTGCTTTCATGTGCTTTGAAGAAATTGTGAAAATGATGCCCTGATTTAGTTGGGATGGAGGACCAGCATTTGAGAGTCTTGTTGATGTTAGCAGTATTTCACCAGTCTTATTTTCATATAGATGAACACAGTTGAATGATTATATGTGAAGAGCTTTCTTCTTTCTCACCAGATACATTCTGCTGAGGTTGTCTTGATAGATGGGTTTATTTCTGCAAGGACCTGCTTTGCGCACCTCTACCTTTTTGTAAAATCCACCTCCTTTTTCTCAGAGTTCCTTGATTTGGTATTTCTCTGTGTATCATAGAAACATCGGGCATTTATTTTCTGTTCGGTAGCAGATAGCACTAAACCATAAGAATGGCACCTTTTCAACAGCGGTCCCTACTGCAGATCAGGAAAGGGCAGGAATACAATTCACTGTACTTACTTGTGGCTTGGGAAGATACACAGTAAACTTAGTGTTTCTCTTCTGGGTGTTTTGCTGTCAGTGATGAAGGAAGTGAAAGCTGCAGCTCCTTGGGTCTCAGAAATACCAGCATGTGCTGTGTAAATTCCTGATAATCTGAAACACCCCTTGAAACTGGTGCACAAGTGTCTGGGAAAATGCACTTTGTCACTGCAGTGTAGTTGTCACCTGTGAGTGACAGAAGGAACAGCTGTGGTTAGAGGGGTTGTACTTGCTGCTGTTTGCCTCCTTGCTATCTCCTGCTGGTGGTGTTTGGTTTGGATTTTTATAAAGAAAAGGCTGTCCTGTAAAACCTGAGGGTTTGCATCTCTAATCCTCCACTGGTGAATTTCTGCTGGTGGACTTGTGCGGAATATGTGTACCTGCATATGAAATTTTGATACTGAAATCATGTAAAACAAGGGAATAAAAAGCATGGTGAAAAATGCTTTCTGAAGTGTGAAATGTTGGTAAAGGGCTATTCTGAAACACACTAGCTCCGAAGTCCAGTTGTGAAGTGTGGAGATAGCACAGCTGCAGTGTTTCAGTTAAAGAAATCCTGGGTTTGCTGGGCAGAATATGAGGCCAAGTTGATTTACAAGAGATCTTGTAGTTAATTATTTGCGAAGTGGAATCTCCTATTTTAATAATATGATGTACTTAAATGGAGAAACTGAGTCCAGCTGTTGACATTCCTGGTGGTGCCACTTGCAGACGAACTTGTCTTACTCTGTAATATGCTTCAAAGTAGTAACCCAGGCTCTTATGGAGAAAAGCTGGTGTTAATGCTAAGTAGTAGCTTCACTTGAATGAATACACTGGGATCTGATCTGAAGTTAATTAATCCAAGATGCCATTTTATATGGTGTCTTTAAACAAGTTTAGAATAACTTATGAAGTATTGACCTGAAAAAGTCTTGGTAATAAAAAAAAAAAACCTTCACATTTATCTGTGTAATATTTTAAACTGTTGGGATTCAAAAGTTGGTGCAGGCACCATGGGTATGTGTTGCATAAAGTGCTCTGTACTGTAAAAATCTTAGGGAAGAAGTGGCTAGTCCAAGTACCAAAAGCCTCTGTGAACTGAGGCCAGCTTTCTGGATTTAGATGCAATCCCTAATTCATCCTTAATTGCGGGTAGTTTGTGGCATAATTAGCTGGTGATATAAGGAAAGCTGGGAATGCATTTGTGTGGTAAGGTAATTTTACTGTATTGTTAGAAGTTGCTCTTTGAGATTGACCCTGTAGTTCTGTGCATCAAACTTGCTGAAATAAAGCAAGCTGTTAGGTATATAGTGAATGTAAGACCAAGCCTGTAACTGTGGAGACACAAGTGTTCCCTATTTAATAATTGCAGGACAGCAAGAAATTAACTGTTAATATTTTGGAGTGGTTTGGTTTTTGATTTTTATTTTTTTTAAATATATATATATATCTATTGGGTTTTTTGCTGGCAAGGTTTTGTTCCAGTGAAATGAAATCTTAGGTTTCCTGCACTGGATCTGAAGACTGTGGTTTTGTTTGGTTCACTACCAGGTTTTTTTTGCCTTTCTCATCATCCTGTGTGTGTTTGAAGTTTGAAGTGGGGATATGCGAGTTAAATGAATCTGCACACATTTCCATAAACAAGGGTTTATTTTTGGAGCCCTGTCTTGGCTTTGGGGTTTTGTTTTCTTTTCCCATATTGTTACCCATGTTTCAGAACTGCATGCGTCTTTCTCTATAAGCGTACCCATGTATGCTGCAGCAGAACAGGGCAAAAGTTGTTCCTAGCTAACTGTGTTTTGCAGGAAAACCCCTTGTATTTCTCTTTGAGGGAACATACATTATCCATTTTTATTTTTTAAATTGGACTTGCCTTGATTAGAATTTATGGCACTGGAGCCATTTCAGTTACAAAGGATAAAGGACAAAATTGTCTTTTACCTCTTGAGACAGTGGTCTCTGCAGGTCAGAGCAGAGGTCATTGCCAGGTTGCTGTGAGGAAGCTTGCATTATCGTCATTAACAGCATCTAGCCTGTGGGGGGAAGAAAGGCCTTC